GTCAGAATCATAGAAAAAAGTCAGAATTCTGAGATTAAAGTCAGAATCTGAGAAAAAAAGTCAGAATTCTGAGATTAAAGTCAGAATTCTGAGAAAAAAGTAGGAATTCTGAGATTAAAGTCAGAATCATAGAAAAAAGTCAGAATTCTGAGATTAAAGTCAGAATCTGAGAAAAAAAGTCAGAATTCTGAGATTAAAGTCAGAATTCTGAGAAAAAAGTAGGAATTCTGAGATTAAAGTCAGAATCATAGAAAAAAGTCAGAATTCTGAGATTAAAGTCAGAATCTGAGAAAAAAGTCAGAATTCTGAGATTAAAGTCAGAATTCTGAGAAAAAAGTAGGAATTCTGAGATTAAAGTCAGAATCATAGAAAAAAGTCAGAATTCTGAGATTAAAGTCAGAATCTGAGAAAAAAGTCAGAATTATGAGATTAAAGTCAGAATCTAAGAAAAAAAGTCAGAATTCTGAGATGAAAGTCAGAATTCTGAGGAAAAAAATCAGAGTTCTAAGATTAAAGTCAGAATTATGAGAGTAAATTCGGAATCTGAGAAAAAAAAAGTGAAAATTCAGACTTTTTTCTCATATTATACTAAAATAAAATTTACAAATTAGTTAACTTTTTTTTTTTTCAGGTGCCCTTATCCTCTTCCATATCCCTTCCATACACTTGTTACATCAGGATGTATATTAGTTAAGTTGTGAGTCTCCAGTGATCCAAATGGGGGCGCCCTCCCAGTGGATTGCAGTATGGAGGAGGAGGAGGAAGAGGAGAAGCGCTGCCATTGGCTCCCGCCTCCATATAAAAGCAGCTAAATGGCTTTTACCGGCACAGAACAGGCGGAGACAGCAGAGGAGCAGGACGCCTCGCTAACTGGGAATCAGCTACGTCCCAACAGTCAGGACTGGACTCGTGTTTTTGTACTGGTCGCTCAATGAAGGACAGACGGTCGTGTCAGAAGTCCTCTCTGAAATCCGCCATGGACCCCAGTCAGAGTGTAAAGTGTAAAATCGTGGTGGTGGGGGACAGCCAGTGCGGGAAGACCGCGCTGCTTCACGTGTTCGCCAAGGACTGCTTCCCCGAGGTGAGACATTTAACGCACCATTAAAACACAACTTCTTTAACTAAAATGTAAAAACCCAGCAGACGTCCTCTCATCACTGCGTGTTCCTTCCTCCCCTCCCCTCCAGAGCTATGTCCCCACGGTGTTTGAAAACTACACGGCCAGTTTTGAGATCGACACGCAGAGGATCGAGCTGAGCTTGTGGGACACCTCAGGTAATCATCAACAGCTTCTCTATGAACAGGGGCGGAGCTACATGGGGGGCCAGGGGTGACCCTTAGCCAATTATTTGACACCCCTACCATTTCCCCCCCTCCAATACAGATAGTGGCAGCAGCAATATTCTAAAATGGAATATTCAAAACATTTTCATTGACAAAAAAAACACTTTGGTTAATTATGGACATCAATATACTAACATTAAAATGATAAATATGGAATTTATCCACTCTTCTGAACTAGATTTTGTTTTATTTGAGGTAAAGACAAAAGGATGAGTCTCTGCAAGTCATCTAGGAGTTTTCAGTGACATCATAGATAAATAACTATTTTAATAAAAACGTATTAAATAAATTTATGTAGATATTAATGCTTGTAAATATAAATTTTATGCAGAGCGATTATTGATAAAAGTAGGCAAGTAATGACAATGGAAAAGATGTTTGAAAGTTTTTAATCCAGTATACCTTTTATCTGGAAAGCACGGATGTTTACGTTTTTTTTTTTTATCAGCAAAAGACTGTTGGAAAGTGTAGTTTGTCTTTATTTAGAAAATATGGATATGCACAATTTTCCTGTTGGAACATTTTGGATTGACCCTGGCCACCCTTATAAGAACCTTCTGGCTACGCCCCTGTCTGTGATGTTTTGTCTTGGAGGACATGTCCTAACATGAACACCCTGCGTGGATTAATGGGATGCTGGCTTGTTTTAAGGAGGCATAGATTGATATCTTAGTAAAACAGGATTTTAATCTCTTACAGTTTGCAAGCAACACATTTACACTTTTTCTTTTTTTTTTTTTTGGGCAACTTTAATGCCCACTGCTGGCCAGCTGGCTGAATGAAGGCCTTGCATTCTATTTGCATGTCAGAAAAATAAAATACTTTAGCTATTTAGTCATCTTGTTATTCTGGAAAGCACACTTTTAGGCCAGCCTCCTTCTCTTAACTCCCTGCTGAAAGCAGATGACAGGTTGCCACAGCTGAAATATATTTAATCATCTTTTCCATTCTTCCCTGGAAAACTGCCAATACTTTTCATGTGGGGAAAATACAGCATTCAAATCCGGGAACTGAATTAAATTAACCTTTTTACAAAACTAAATGTGATTAAACTGTAGGTGACCTTTCTGGTGTTGGAATGCATGTGCAGCTTACCCAACTTTTCTTCATTTTTATGTTTTAAAATCATTGAACGTAGTTGAACTATGATATGAATTCTGAGATTTATAAAATATTTGTAGCAGGAAATGAGCCTCCAAATGGAAGATAATGTTGCATATAGAATGTATCCTAAGCTTCATTAAAACCAACTAAGATCTGGTTGTTTAGCTGATAATTGAACTCAAGGTTAATTAGAGGAAATGTATTTCCTAGCGAATAAACTGATCATCCATGATAAGTTGAATTTGACATTCGAAGGCCTGGTTGCTTTCGGAGTGCAGCCATCCAAGGATAAACAGCTGGGTTTATAGTTTTGATTAAACTCACTACACATGATTAAATACCATGCTTTAATAAAAATTTGCTAATATTTTCCCCCAATATTAAGTTTTATTTAAAAAGAAATAAGGAGCCATTAGTATTCTGCTTTAACTATATTGCAGCTGAGATAATCAAAGTAAATGCATCATGTGAGCTGCTATTTTCTATAGAATGCTGTACATAAATGCCACTTAAGTCTTTGAAAACAATGACCTGCATGGGTTTTCTTTTGTTTTCCATTGCAGAAGTATCCAAATTGTTAAACCTTGGCTTTTTTTTTTTTTTAACATGTGCTCCATGCAGCCAAAATAAAAAAATAAAACGGTTATTTCTCTTTGGGGCGTAAGGGGATTTTAAGCAAAATAGTTTGTTTCTAACATTTATTAGGTTTAAAAAAAAAAAGTGCATCAGAAAACTGGAAAGTTAGTGATTCTGCCTGATTTTAACTGAATAATCTTGAGTTGAAAACAAAAAGAAATTGTGCCACTGTGGTGTTTTAGACAGAAATGTAAACTTGTATGACAGCAAGGCATTCAGTGGTTTTTTGGGACCGCTGCACCTTGATGCCTAACCGCTCCATGCCTCATCTGGAGTTTTCTGTTTGCACAGCGTCAGATTGGAGGCCTCCTATCCTTACCTTTGTCCTATGTGAAAACATCTGCGACTGCTTAAAGCGGATGAACCTTCTGGAAGATTCCCAGCTGAGCTAAATCATAAACTTTAACAAAACAAAAACGCTGAACTGCCCTCAAATTCATACATCTGGTGAACACACTCTGGAAATTCCTCCCACACTTCCCTTTTTCCGTCTTTTTTTTCTTCTTACGGGACAGTTGCACAACAACCACCCCCCTTCATTCCAGTTGAACTTTGTTTGCCGTCTAAAAAAAAAACAGTGGCTGTGTCCCAACTTTGTGTGTTTTAAGCATGTAGACAAAACGCTCTTTGCATTGATCAATGCCCGGGCAGGGAAAATGGGCAGAGTGGGGAGGTGTGATAGAGGGCGTATGTTGAAGGCGTGCAAGCATTTGGTCTGCGTGGGAGTGATGGGCGGGAACAAGCCAGCAGCCAGCTGTTGCCTGGAATTCCAAAGAATTTCTCCAACTTTTTTTGCGAATCCAGCTTGAAATGTTTTCATTTCCTGGAAAAGGGGCAAAACTGAAAATAAGTCGAACCGAAAGAGTCTGTAGTGTTTGTCTCAGAAGCTATAGCATCATCTTAGAGTAGCTTTTGCTTTTGTTTTTTTACTTTATTGGAAACAAAAACATGAAACGCCTGTTTCATGTTAGACCACAAATCAGCAGATCCAGCTTGTGTGAACCGTTGGAACTAAAAGGGCGAAGAGATGAGAAACGTCCAGAACAAGAGTTCTGTTTTATTACACCGTTGGCCGGCTGCCCCGAGCCATTTCTTTCTCTCTGCTTCATAAAAACAGAAAGGAGTGAAAGAGGAGGAAGGGGGGATATGCTTCCTATTAGATCAGTAGGTTTTAGATGAAGCAGGATGCCCCCACCCTGCCCCCAACATTCAGTCCTAACCCCCACCCAACACCTAGAAACACTTCCAGTGACCGATGGATGGAGCTTTCAGCTTGACTGGTCCCTTTGTAGAGACAGCCATGGTCCACAGCCAATCCAATCGATCTCTTATCTCCTGAGGTGCTCTGGGAAGAGAGGATGGGGGGTGGGTTTGTTCTAAGCAGGGCCCCGATCAGGCTCTCTGACAAAGACCAGCACGCAGGCATGAGGACAGTCGTATAAACACACCTCCACGCGGGGAGGTGGTCTTTGTTCCGAGTGGCTTAATGAGTCGCCTGGAGTGTGTTTTAGTGCAAGTGTTTGAAAGAGGAGGGTGATGGGTGTAATTTGGGTCATTAAGGTAAATTCCTGCCAGTTTCACAGCCTTATATTTGCAAACCACCCCCACCTTGCTCCAACCCAAACCTCCTCCTTGTTTAACACACACCCACCCAGCTTGTCTGAGCTAGCTTTTGCTTTCCACTCCCAAGTTGAGGTCTGCCGGGGCCTCGGCGGAGGCTTTGAAGCTTCTCGTTTCTTTCACCGGCAGAGGAAGCGGTTTATATTGTCTTTCGATCTGTCTGCCGGTGTGTCTGAGCAAGCAAAGGTGTTTGTCTGGGAGTCAAAAAGGATAAAATAGACGATGAGGGTAAATTGGCCTGCATGCCTTAGGCTGGAGTGTAGTTTGTGAGGTAAGAATGATCAAAGGTAGCATCTCGGAGCATTCAATCACTCTCTCACTGGGCGGCAATTGACCTTAATTCCTCAGTGTTTTTATAAGAAATTTTCTACAAAAAAACCCCCCAAAACTTAAACCTGGGAACCATTTGAAAACCAGGAAAGCTGCAGGTGGTTACAATTACAGTTGGTGATGCACAAATCAAACGGCTGTCCATCAAAACATTTTTCCCCTGTCTCCTTTCAAGAGGTTTAATAAAAGTAAGGTCAGAGTAAAAGATGCCAATCTGAATGTTCAGCTAATCTTTGGTTTTTGTAAAAGTTTGAGCTGCGATGTTTGGATATTCAAAATATTTCCTTATATTAGTGCCTATTTGCTATCAAAAAAGCGACGGACGGTTGAGGAAAGCAGTTTTTGTCAGTTAGAAAAGACAAATGTTTCCGTTTTGCTCAATAGTTTTTTATTAACCTGGTCACTCTAGTTTTCTTAAAGCTTAGAATGAACTTGAGTATATCCTAATAGCCTTCCTGTTATCCCATGAAAGTCTTGCTCTCACTTGTAGCTTGACTTAACCGCAATAGGTACAAAAAAAACCCTTACTTGACCTAAAGTGGCTAAATTGGAGTCTTTACTCTGTAACCATGAAGACGTCCAGGAGTGTTGATGTTTTGCTGTACCTGGAGTCTTGTGGAAAGTTCTCAATCGTTTCAGATTAATAAACCAACCAGTCAGTTGTTTGTTGGTTAGATGAAGCTGGTACTAGTCACCAGTTGTTTTTGTTGCATCTAGTGCGTTTGGGGGCCACTTTCTCAAGCTAGCTGGTGGCTTTACTGCTGTCCCATTTGAGTGTTTACTTTCAGAACAGCTGCTTGTTGCATCTGGCAACAACTGAATCGGCAGTTTACAGCCTGAGGTGCCTAAACGAAATTAAGTACTTTTTTAGAAGGTGTTAGCGTTGTCCCTATATCCAAGTCTGAGGAGATCTGGTAGGTACCCCCTAAAATGTGACTATTACTAAACTAGTAGGGCAAAATACTACCTTTCATCTATTAACTTGATTTGCTTAAACTCAAAAATGTAAGTTACTTAAACTAGTGCTGGTTTCCCCCTTTTTACCCTCACTCTGGGCATCTACCAGTTTGAATTGAAATGTGACCTATTGTTTATATACTAATATTAATATGTTGTATTTAACATCCTAATCTAAGGCTATCTTTTTAAATTCTTCAAATTAAGTATTTGTTGCTGCAAACCACAATATAAACTCGTTAATCATTTCTTAATGAGTTTGTATGTTGGTGAGAGTAGTTCCATGTAGCTAAAAATTAGGCTTTCAAATTGAAATCATCTGAAAACGACGCTGTCAGCACTTTGGAATGAAGGAACGGTATTTAGACATCTATTTTCAAAGGAGTCCCTTCCATAAATACAAGGCAGAGGCTTCTAGAGCGCGGTGCATCTGTTGGTTGGACGGCTTAGTGCGGGCCTTTTTTGCCCAAGTTAAGCTCCTCGACTGCTCGCTTGCCCTGCCAACTCCATTCCTCTGGCCTCTACGAATTGGAGCCGCATGTCTGGCATTCCTCAGACTAAAGGTTTCTACTTCCTCCTCTACAAAGACCCCTATTGTACCCAGCAGGCCCTGATCCTCAGCCAGTGAAAGAGGAGCGCCGTGGATCACTAAAGCCCCACCTTGTTTCCAGGGGGGGGAAATTGAATCACGGTGGAATCTAGCGGGTCACTGATGGGATGGGGATAGTGTGTCAGCTGAAACACAGGGACCCAGTGAGAGAGATTACACTTCCTGTCTAATGTCATGGAAAGATTCTATGTGATGTTTCACCTGACATTAATATCTGTGTGTTGGGAGCCGTGTGTCCTACCAGTACAGTGAAAAAGAGGACTGCCATTTCTCCTCTTCATGAATGTGCAAACAGCCATTCCTAAACCTTATTTATAGTTTACCATGATGCATGTAAACAACAGGGTCAGAACAGGGCAATGTGCAAAATACATGTAAAATAAAGTGTGTATAATGCATGGTAGTGGCAGAATCATGCTGAAGAGACAGAAAGTGGTCAGTTTGTTGGGTTATTTTGGAAGAAGCATGGAATAAAATTGATGAAATGTGACAATGTCAAAATAATTAGGGGGTATAGAAAACGATGCAGGGCATTGAGTTAAATAAACATTGGTGAGGTTTAACTTTATAAAAGCTGCTTAAATTATCTCTAGAAATGTGCTGCATTTTCATCCCCAAACCTTTTGTTTTGATACGTGCCTCCTTCTAACGTTAACACTCTGACATGATCTGTGAAACAGCCTCACGTATTCGATCCGTACCTTTTCATATACTGAAAACCACAAGGGTTGCCTTTATGACTGCAGATGTCTTAGTAACCACAGCAACCACAGAAGGTATTGGCTGAGGTTGCTCTGGTTGTGCTTCTTGTCCTTGGCATGTTTGCCTTTGTGCTTGACTGCAGCTATAAGTCTGTCGCAGTTTGTTTCTCCAGGTGCCCTGCAGGGCTCCACGCCTTCTCCTACTGTCAGTTCTGCACAGCTATGTTAGCTATGTGCTAAAACAGCAGACCTGCTGCCAGACTTCCAGACTGTCGGATGCATCTGGCTTATTTCACATCTGTACGAGGAGATAAAGTAAAAATTTCCTGCTCCTTTGCTTTTGTAATCTGAAAGTAAATTCCTCAGCATGGGGGGGATAAAAACCTACTTGGATGTTTAGAAGGTGATGTAAATCTTGGGGTATAATTGTTACATAAATACACCCCATTTCTTTCACCTTTTCATTTAAATTCCTTGAATAAGATGGAGCCTGTTGTCCCACCCACCGTGGAAAACAATCATGGAAAACTCCATAATGAGGACCACAGTGGAAGTTTGGTCACCTAACATCTGGTTTCTCTTGTGCGGCTGTGCACAACAGGATCACTTTGTTGTGTGAATATGTTTCTGAGGGGGGGGCAGGGTCCTCGTCAACCGTCTAGATTTAGAGATCCTGTGGGAGGACAATGACAGGAGCTAATTACGCCACGGCCACCAGGTTTCAGTGCGTGTCAGCTGTGGGTTTGCCTCTTATCTTATCCATCGCTGCATACATTTACACCCCCCCCATTCTTCTAATGTCGTCCTTTAGGTAAAAAGGTTTATTAATATTTTGACAGCTAACATCCTGGTCTATTCACAGAAATGTATGCAGACTTATTACAGCTTGCTCTACACCAGACTGCTGTAATATGGAAGTCCTCTTTGCAGTTTGATGAAAAATATTGAAATCGTTCTATAATGTCAACTGATTTACAAAGCTTACCCTTTCAGTAAAAGGTCTTGTTTCCACTGCTTTGTTCAAGGCTGAGAGCAGAGTGAGGAAAGAAAAGATTCAGTTAGCTTGTTTGTAATGTCATGATGGCTGCTAAAGATACGATGGTCTTTTTGCTCAGGTTCTCCAAAGGACATTTATTAAGAAAAGTTGCAAACAAGAGCCTTATAAGATTTAGCTTTGTATTAAATTGACTTACTAGATTCCCTTTTCTTTAAAAAATGATGTAGACGATAACAGAAAATGCCAACATTTTTATTTTGTTTTGCAAGATGCCATCCTCAAACATCTAGAACATTGAACAGCAACTAGTGGGATGGGGGGATAAAGTACAGATGATGTTTCCAATAAAAAATGTTTCTCAAACATGGAAGCAGCTAAAAGTCTTTAAAAATAGGTGACTGTTGTTTTCCATAAAGCAGTCGAACCCCATTTAGCCTTATTAGCAAAAGCTAAACTGTTAGCTTAGCTTAGTAGCTTAGGTTTTGTTTTGTTTTTTATGTTTTTTTTTTTTTGTTTTTTACAAAACTCTTTTCAAACTGTCAAAAAGTCTTTAGGAACTAAAATATTGTATAATCCTGCACCCAATTTTGAATTTGTCTGCTTAAACTGTTGATTTCATCACCCCCATTGTTCACGGTTAGCTTGTTTGTTCAAAAGCTAGTTTTTGTGGACTGCTTTATATCTACTACAATGATTAAACTGCCCATCAGTTATGGCTTCTTTCTGTTTAACTTAAAAGCCTGCATGGTGGATGTAGTGCTAGCCATTATGAAATTATGTTAGCATTTGCTATCTTTAAGGTTGGCTTTGGAAAATAAATAAATGTAATTTAAATGACTTTTTTTATTTTTTTATTTCCCTGCTTTTTGGACTCTGAAATGTTGTTCTCTCCCACCTTAAAATGGTTTAAGTAACCATTTGTTTAAAAATAACAAATCTAAACCGACCTGGAGTGCAGTTAGCGATATTAATTCAATTCAGTTTATTTCTATAGCGCCAATTCACACCACAATTCATCTCAAGGCACTTTACAGTTCACCAGATCATGCAGTCAAATTGATTTAAAGTTTTCTATCTAAGGAAAACTAGTTGATTGCATCGACTCATTGACTCGAGGCAATCCCTCACACTAAGCATGCTTGTAGCGACAGTGGAGAGGAAAAACTCCCTTTTAACAGGAAGAAACCTCCAGCAGAACCAGGCTCAGTGTGAGCGGCCATCTGCTGAGACCGACTGGGGTTCAAGGAGACAGAAGCAGAGATACAAAAAGCAGCTGGAAACACATGAGCACCGAGCCAGCTCCCATGTCAGATAACAAAGAGAGCACAGCCAGTCAGAGAAACAGGACTACACTGGAAAAAAACAGGCTCATCTCAAACAATGTTATGATTATGTTTGCATAACATTGAGTAATAATGATCATGATGATAAAGCCTTTAATTTGTCAGGAAAGTGCTGATAAAGACGGTATTAGAAATGTTTTAAATTGACACTATTATCATAGTGATTTTTTTTTTTTTTTTCAAGCTAGTACTAAATATTAGCAGAGCTATGAGAAGTTAGTCTCCGGCCTCACACTTCATGGCCTGAGCCTTGAAGCTTTGTTTGAAATGCTGTTATCTACTGCATTAAAAGTATGTAAAAGTTTGTTTGAGTATGAGATGGAGCATTCCTGCCTTTTTCCTCTCCGCAATATTTAGGGAGGACATCCCAGGGGAATCTTCAATTACCAAAAACAAAATTCCCTGGATTCTTGGCAGCTTGTTCCCTGTGGTCATATCTTCCCCATCATGTGATCCTGACCCACCTGAACTTCACGCCACATATCCCCCCCTCCCCTCCAGAGATCTTTGAGTCTACCAGAGAGACGGGCGTCTCCATACATATGGTTTTAATTTAAGAAAAAAAAATTCTTCACTCTAAAGTTCTCAGTTTCTCTACCTCTTTTTTTTTTTTAAGTTATCCTGTACTCAGCACATTTTTTCAACTAATGCACTATTTGTGTTATTCCTTGTTGCTATGGATTATAACTGAACTGCATTTATCAATGTTCCAAGCAGAGATTTGGCCCTGCTTATGTTCTCATTAAACCTAAGGTCCTTCTCTAGATCTGGTTAAAACCTTTAGATGTTGAAAGGTCACATATAAAAAAAAAAAAAAAATAGTTCTCAGTTTTTAAATACAACTAGTTGAATTTGTGCTGTCAAATAAAAAAGGTGTTTTTCTAAGTCTCATGTCTGTCGTTTTAGGATCTCCGTACTACGACAACGTGAGGCCCCTGTCCTACCCAGACTCGGACGCTGTCCTCATCTGTTTTGACATCAGCCGTCCCGAAACCCTCGACAGTGTATTAAAGAAGGTATGTGGCCGCTTGCTGATTTCAGCCATGACAAAATCATTTTTGTATGGTTGTAATAAAACTCTCTTATCCAATTTGGTTTAAAAATACTTGAATCTAAGCTGGGCTGAGAGAGGGAAAAGTGAGGTTTCTTGGTTTGAACATTTTAAACTTTTAAGCGGCATAGAATGATCTAACTGCTTCTAGGAGCAAAGCTCAGCTGCTAAATACTGACTTAGTTTGGTTGTATTTGGATTGTACTTTTATTTTTATTTTTTATCCTTAAGCTCGAGGGAAAAATATTGGGTATTAATTGGTTGTTATGGAAACCCTAATCACTTTTTAGTAGAAGAATCAAACAAGCTAATTTGGTTAGCTAGTGAGTCTATTTGCTGGGCTAGCCAGAAGAAAGACGCACAGTCATTAATCGACATAATGCACTTACACAGCTGATTTATTTTATTTTTTTCACATGGGCAAATGTCAGCTGATGGGCATTGTGCAGCAACAGGTGGGGCAGGGGAGGATTAAGTTGTCCACAAGCTGTAGTAAAAAAACTTTGTTGATTCTCATCATATTCTTTTCTAAATGCTAACACTGCAAAAGAGAAGGATAAATATGAAATCTTTCAAGTTTTTATTTTTTATTATTTTAATGGTCAAAGTAGATCTCATGACAGTCGATCCTCAAATGTTTCTTAAACAGACGACTCACATGAGTTTGTTTAGTGGTGAACATCTGATGTCCGTCCTGCAGACTGACTACCATGTGTCCAAATGTGGATGAATCCAGTCGTATGAGGTGGTGACTGGGCTTTTTCTTCATTCCCAATAGAATCCTTTATTTTTATTTTTTTGTCTGTTCTGGTGTAAAGCCAGTCACATTTTTCTACAATTAACATTTAATGACAAAACTGAGATGCAGTTTGATGCTTCCCAGTCATCTATTCACTTCCACTGACTGCCAGCTCATTTTGAATAATTGAGGTCACACGCCGAGGTCCGCCAGTGTTCCACGTCTTGTTTATTTGGCTTAAAGTAAGAATGTGGAATGTAATCCCCCCCTGAGGGGACGAAAACCGCAAAGCAAAACCTCAGTTCTCAGTGCTGGTTGAGGGCAGCTATGCTGGAGGTCTGAATATGCAGATAGACTATTTGTTACCTAATCATTAAATGTTTTTTTTTTTTAAAGGATAAACTGCAGTAAATTCTGCAGAAACCTCAAGTTTCAACAAACATTTAGGCATTTAGTGAAGCGATAATAGGCGCCGTGTAAAATAGCTTCCTCTTTTCGTGGTAATGAACTTGATCCTCTGACCCGCTGGCCAGTCGGCCCAGAGGCACATTAACTGTGGTGAAATGCCATCGATCAGAGCATTTATTGTTCAGGAGGAAACGGGATTATTTGTAGCTCCGTTCCATGGTTCAAAGCTTGTGGGGCTCAGGAAATGCCAGCGTTAACCTTTGTACTGAAAACCAGGTGACTGCAGGGCTGGAACTCGAGGATTTTCAAGATGTTATTAAAAAAGGCTTTTTTTTTTTTTATCATTTGAAGCTTAATAATTTTTTGTATAGATCAACCAATATTTTCTTTTTTAAAGGATTCCTTTTATTTTGATTTCTGTTCAACCAATCCTTTATATATGCTGCCCTTCTTTTGGGAGAGATTCTTCAAGCCAATATTTTTCTTCCATTTAAATATAAAATGTCTCAATTTAAATTTAAAGATTTGTTAACGAATCCATCTAAAGCGTTTTAACAATGGATCGCAGATGGAGGGAACAATCTAAATGGCAGCCAACTGTACTAATGTAGGGCTTATCGATTAAACTGTTTATTTTTATATATTTTTACAATCTCTGGCACAAATCCCTAAAAATTATTTTATACAGAACTTAAAACTAGGTCAAGCAAAAACTTAGCCAGTTGAGGAGTTTCGATTAGAGCAGATTGATTGGCAAGATTTTCTTTATGAATGCTAAATGTTATATTTTTACAATTTTGGCATATTTACTGTTCTGTTTGGGTTCTTCTTACCGGTAATCGGATGTTTAATAACCATGAATTGATTACTAAATTTAGGGATGCACGATATTGGATTTTGGCTGATATCCGATATGCCGATATTTTAAAACTCATGTAGCCGATAACCGATATCGATACCGATGTTAAAGCTGGACAAAAATAAGTAGTCATTGAAAATAGCAGTTTTGTTATCCATTTCTGACACTTTGAAAAATAATATACTCAAATATATTTTCATATGCTGATATCAAATTGATTTTTAAAAACGCGCATCGATCTATTTTACTTTCAAAATCTCGCGAAATTTCATCGTTCTGTTACAAACTCTCGTGATATTTTGCAAATTCTTGTGAGATTTTGTTAGTAAAATAGATCGATACCGCGTCAATATATCAACATATAAAAATATGGCAACATTTCGTGAATTTTCGGGGGATTCCGTAGCATAACGATGACATATAGCAATATTTCATTAGTAAAAGAGATTGATATGGTGTTTTTAAATGGCAATATATCAGCATATGAAGATATTGGGATATTTTAATGTATCAATATTTTTTCCCTCGAAGTTTTTAAGTCTGTAAAAAATAAGTTTTTGAGGAAGAAGTAGTATTTTAAATTTTTTTTTGTAGACTTTAGAAACTCAGAAGCTGATCAAATATCGGGTTAAATATCGGTGGGGTGGCCGATGTCCGATATTCAGTTTTCAGGCCGATACCGATAAGGGGCCAATTATATCGTGCATCCCTAAATAAATTATTTATTTCAATAATCGATTGTTTTTGCCATACAGTACTAAATCGGTGAATGTATGCTGCTCTAGAACAGTTCATCTGTAGTTTGTAGAAAGTGGCTTCAGGAAAAAATAATTATTCAAATAATGCGGTGATCTCAGGGCAAGTAAGTTCGACTTCATAATGAAGTATTTATCTTCCACAGTGGAAAGGAGAGATCCAGGAGTTTTGTCCCAACACCAAGATGCTGTTAGTCGGATGCAAGTCGGACCTGCGCACTGATCTTGGCACACTCGTAGAGCTGTCTAACCATCGACAAGCGCCAGTTTCCTATGACCAGGTATTCAGCCATTTTGATTTTTTTTAAAAAGTGTATCAATAAATGAAACATTGTTTGCTTCTAATAAAAGTAAATGATGGAAGTACTTCGTTCTAAGACTTAATGATTACAACATGTTTATTACTTTTGCTAATGAATGTTTTGCATCAATTTTCCTGTGAATCTGACCTAAGCCTTTCTTCTCCAGGGCTCCAATATGGCCAAACAGATCTCGGCGCCTTACATCGAGTGCTCGGCTCAGCAGTCGGAAAACAGCGTCAGAGACATTTTCCACGTGGCCACGCTGGCCTGCATCAACAAGAACAGCAAAAATGTCAAACGTAGCAAGACGACGCGCGCTAACAAGAGGATTTCGCACATGCCCAGTCGGCCTGACCTGGCAGCCGTCTCCACGGATCTCCGGAAGGACAAAGCCAAAAGTTGCTCTGTGATGTGACTTGTTAGACTGAGAGGGGGGGTTACTGGACTAAAGAGAACGAGTTTGGCGCGTAATGCAAGCAGGGAGCTGCAAAGCCCTGACCTGCATGCTTAAAAAAAACACCAACCCTTTGTTGTCTGGAAAAGGGGTTTTCATAAGCTTCAATTCATGTGTGTTACTGGAATATTCAGCACCAACGAGAACTCGTTGAGTAATTGCGTCCTAGTAGATGTGCAACCCCCCCCCCTCTATCACCAGTCCCACCAGAGGAGGAAGCTATCAGTCAGCTGGCTATCAGTGCTGGGAGGAGACCTGCTTCCTCTGAGGACAAGGCGGATGCAGCCAAGGCTTTCCTCTCCAACAGGAAATGAGCAGAAGGAGTGATGTCATTAAGAGATGATCACACGTAGAGGGTTTTTAAACATCTTTTGAATCGGAGGGGAAGCCGGCTATGGCAGAGGGGCGGTGGGATATGAAGGTTAAAAAAAAAGGCTTGAAGAGGGCTTTCACAGCAAACTCATCACTGTGGTTTGGATTTACTGCTATCTCTGCTCCTGTGACTGTTGGTGTGTGCAGAGGAGTCCCTTTGTTTCTGATAATGTTGTTGGTAAAATGTGAAGTTTTTTGGTGTGCAACTGCGTCTTTTGTTTTACTCCGATTCTGTTGGTTTTCATCCTCCCTCTACCGCTAGTTTCATACTGTTGCCTCAACAAACGGCTTCAGATCTTAAACCTTTGATTTAAGCGTATAAATCATAGGTTGATCACAATGTAGCAAGAGAAAAAAAGTATTATGTAAAGTTTTCTTTAATTAAATTTTCCCACCTCATCTTTATTTTTTAGCATGAGTGCAGAGGTTGTTTGGGTTCAAAACTTAAATCTTTGTATTTCCTTGAAGAAAGTTGATGCTGATGGTTTCAAAATCTGAATACCTAAATGGAATCTAAAACTAGATTCCAAATAAAAGTCAAGTAGGTTTTATTCCAAATTTAGAGACGGTAATGTTGCGCTAAAGGCCAAAATGGCGGTAGAGGTTACAGTAAACGTTTTAACCTTTGCAAATTTACTCCAAAGAGAGAGAAACTGGAGACTGTTTACAAACTGTAAAATCATTTAAGTCCATTAGCCATTAAGTTAATATACTTTAAACTACTCGCTAGCTTGTCAATGTCAGCAATTCGTGTTTGTATGCAAGAGGGAGCCTTAAATAACGCAAAGTAATGGCTACTGTCTGCAGCCAACAGCTGAGTCTGTCCAGAGGGCTAGCAGTTTGCTAGCATTTCATCAGTTAGCCTTCACCTTTTTCTTTTAGGTATTAACTTAACAATAGCAACAATGATTCAAATTTATATTTTCTTGTGCGTTTACATTTAAACCCAAAACTTAAGCATCCAAATAGTTTTTTTTTCTTTAAACTTGTATTGTGATGGATTAAGCAACTATGACCTAAAATATTGGAAAGTTAAAAATTCATTTTGTCAAACACTGAGCTGATTAGTTTAATTTCTAGCATTGTTTACATTTTCTAGATTGACACGGTTAATTTTTATTACCGCTTATTCTGGAGTTGTGGAAGTTTCCATGCGTTTCCCAACATTCATCAATTTGTTTATTGTTTTTCTTTCGATTTTTGTGTTTTGCTTTGTTTTTTTTCTCCCTTGATCATTATTCAAAAGTAATTGCATTTTGTGTAGCAGGAGTAGGGGGGCTAGACTGTTTCCAAATAGTAAAACTATTAGCCTTTTAAATAAGCTAGTTAGCTCGTTCATTAGCAGGAAGTCAATTTCAGGTTTTCCTTAAGTTTGTAGATTTTCTGAAGGGAAAACATGAAATGACATAAAGCAAACGAACAGTTAATTAAACATCACTTTGGCCTTTCTTGCGTTATCTTTTACATGGGAATGATTCAAATGATTAGATGATCTGTTTTGTCTGGAGGGTCTGAAATATTTGCCTATTGATGTTTGAGTTGAATTCTGTCTGCAGGTGTTTTTTTTTTTTTTAAATATGCCTGAGATGAAAACTGTTTGGAGGGGAAATGTATTCTTAAAATGACAAGCGGGGGGGGGGGTAATAAGGTTTGGACAATAATGCAACTGTTTTGTTCTTAAATGTCATTGTTACAGTCATTGATGCACTTTTTCTAATGGAGCGTAATGGCGTACAAAGCCTTTCCATATCAGTACTGTCTCATTTGGCAGAACTGTGCCCAGACTCTCATCCTCATGTTTTGATCTGTCCCGTCTCTGTAAACCCAACTTTTCTTGAATGTCGTCACCTTCAAAATGTCTTTGCCAATGTTGTTGCCACAGTATTTATTGAATTATATATTTTTCCTTTAGAATAAATAGAATGAATAAAATGAACTTGGGTCTGTTTATTCCGTTTATGGACTTAAAATTTGTATAGTTTTCTTTCATGTCAGTATCATAAGTAATGATTAAAAACGATGACTCTTTTCTTTTAAAGGCATACATGCTATACTTAAAACATGCCCAATAAAAATGGGCTTTGTCGAGACACCAGTATTGAACAATACAATATATGCCCACACCTAGTTGGAAGTAGCTGAATTGCCGAGGCCCCTAGGGTGCTATAGAGGATGAGGTAAAATCAATTTGATAGCAAAGTCAGCTGCCTTAAAGCTTACTATTTCTCATGTTTCTTTTGGTACAAACTTCTTTTAAAAAATGACATGTATATAAATGCAGGACTGATTATAATATCTAACTCGTTCTGTTTTAAAAGCCCATTTCTAAGTAGTATAGGTCTTATGGTGCAGCGTCCTTTTAAGTCGTTAAAGCTCCTGGGTACTGCCTGAAAATCCTTGTCTCATGGTGTCTGGCACAGGGATTTTGGAAGTTCTTGGATCATGGACGGTTGGCTGTGGGGCCTTCATAAGTTGGCTTCGTTGAGTATGTCTTGATCGGATTTAAGTCTGGACTTAAATCCAGACCATTCTAACACACGTATAGTAACATTTATGTCCATTTACTGTAGCTCTGGCTGTATGCTGTTTTGTAATATGAGGATGATTTTTGATCAGCGTTTTGTACCACATCTGACTTTAGGCCAAAAAGCTACATTTCAACCCCATGCGCCTCAGGGTAGTGTTATCTTCATGTTTACTATACTCCTTGTAGGACAGGAGTCTTCAACGTTTTGCAGGCCAAGGACCCCCAAACTGATGGCGAGATGTCGATGAAATTGTGTTCTATCAAACTGGTCCTATAGTCACTCTATTACAGATGGAATAATGTAACAAAAGTAATTTCTCCCTGGGATTATTAAAGGATTTCTGATTCCGATTCCTCGTTGATGGGCCAGGTGTGAATGAAACGGTTCCCAGCTCTAAAGAGCTCCTGTGTGTCGCTGAATGTGTGCATTGATGACTGAAAGACATCTTCTGCCTCCATTTATCTGTTTACTACAGTGTGTTGAATTCATGTTAATGTGTTTTTGAAGACAGAATTGTAGGGGGGAATATAAAATCAAGCAAAACTTTCGCGACCCCCATGCAGTACCTCCGTGGCCCCCTTAGGGGTTGCAGACCCCCTGTTGAAGACCTGTGCTGTAGGGCTTTCATCAAACTGGAATTCATATTTCTTGAGAAAAGTACCAGTCACATTCAGCTCATCTGTCCATAGTTTTGATACTGAAAGTAACTAGTTTATATATATATATATATATATATATATATATATATATATATATATATATATATATAAATAATTTATTTAAACAAGACAGTGTAATTTTTTGCCACTAGGGGTTTTAGACCTATAACTTCCAGATTTTGCACCCCTGAAAGCAACTAGCCACAGTAAACTGTCACAAAATCAAAAAGTCTCCCTTCATGTTTTGGAAATTGTCAGCCGACCACTTTGCACCAGCAGACTGAGTGTAGTATTAATATAGAGGGGTGAATGTGACCTTGTCTTTACAAGTAACTCCATTACTTCTCAAAGAACCAAAATTATGCCTGCTGCTCTAAAGTGGTGCTCTGGGTCACACGACTCTTTCAGCGAGGGATCCGACCTTTTCAACTAACAGCTACGTGAAAGCAGCCCGAACAAAACATTGTTATTCACCAAAGGTTGGTTACTGACCAGAAAAATCATATATCTCATTTTAAGCTGATATTTGGGCCAAAAGTTGCACAAAGTAACTTTAATAATTTGAAGTAGCTCTTAAAAGTGGCCAGACTGTAATTTATTTAAATCTATGAGAGAAGTCGATCTATTGTACGTTACAAGCTACCAAATGTACTAAAGTACTTTTTTACTTTACTCACCAGTCAAACATCTTCAGACCGTTTCATTTAAAAAGAAATAGCTGAACTGGAGTCATTTACTGTTATGACATGGTGGTAAAAAGCAGGTTCTTCTTGGAACAACAAAAGTTCTCTGTGAGTCGGACTGAATAGTCTTGTCTGGTTATAATGCTTAGGTATCACTAGGAGCAGACTGCCTTTAAGGGGCATGGTACATTCCTGGGGTCTACCGAGCATGGAAACTACTTTTCCTCACACATCAATCCTATAAATCACTCAGTGACTTCATCACTTGCATAACGACTGAGACATATTTGCTTGTCAGTTTCAGGAAAACCGGTTTGTCAGGTGAAAAATAAATGTCAGCGATAAAAGACGCACAACTGTTCACCCTGTGTCCGCATGCATGAAAGAGATTTCTGGATAATGTGCATTAGATGGATTCAAGATAAGCTTTAGAAGTTCTCTGTTTTTTAAGATGCAATACCAAAGAACTGGCCATATGAAGTCTGCTTAAATTTGTTTTGCCTCCAGAATAATTCCTATACGATACTTCTTGAGATAAGAAACAGCAAAAAAAGAAGGCCATTAGCTTAGAACTGTTGAAAGGTAATAAAGAATACTTTTCGGCACTATATAGTATTCTTCAGGGTGAAGTAGAAACATCTGGCAAAAGGGCCTCATTTGAGGGATCTTCACCTCACACCTCCAAAAGCGTTTTCCTTATGTTCTGAGGTATGTTGAGGATAAGTGGCATTGACTATAGTGCTGAACTAAGGACACTGGCAGGTGGTAGAACGAACACCTTGTGGGTCTCCTTAAGTTGGTAACATATATGTTGTAAATGATGGTAGAAAGTAACAAATTACATTTACTTGATTTTTTGATCATCTTTACCTGAGTAATTCTTTGGAGGGTTTCTTATGACTTTCACTCCTCTACATTTCAAATTAAAAAATTATACTTTCTACTCAACTACATTTCGAAGAAGCTGCTAGGTCCTTGTTCCTTTTGGCTCAGCTTAGCTTTTTAATCCGCTGTTGCGGTTTTTCTTTCAACATGCAAGATAACAGCCATTAGGACTGGATTTGGACTCCACTGTTTTAGAGATTTGCATGACATTCCACAGACGTGAGAAACTCAGGGCAGATATTATTTATGGCTCAGAAATGTCATTAAGGCATTACTTGTTGCCATGTGGCCGAGTTGTTCAGCAGTATGAGTTCTCAAATCACATTTGAGGTTTCTTTCTTTCTTTCTTTCTTTCTTTCTAATGGATTCAACCTTTAACTGCTATTCCATAGTGAAAGTGTGAGGAGAATCAATATAGTCCTGTTTTCTTTTTGATTTGTTTTAAAATAACAAATAATAATCACAATGGATGACCTTCATTTTTTGTGGCATTTTTATGCCACAGGTGGTGCAGAATTGGTAGCAGGTGGTTCTACGCACAAATACATCAGGTTGTTTCGGAAAATTCCAAGGTTCTTTAAAATTACTACATTTTGTACTGACTACAAAATTATACAGACATTTACTAATATTAGAAAATTGAATACGTATTTTTGAATACTTAAGTACTGCTAAATGCATGTACTAGTATTTTCAGAATTGAGAAGTTCAATACTTTAACTTGAGTGGATGTTTGACAGAGTCGTAGCTGTTAATTGAGTAAGACTATGAGTATCAAAACTATGACTATGAGTATCAAAACTTTTACTCGAGTACTACGTTTGAGTACTTTGTCCACCACAGGTTATTAATGAGGAGCCTGAATACTCTTGAGAAGCAGAGTTCATTCCCAAAGCAGACATTTTGTTGGTACTTACCAAGCTCCCCAATGCCAGGGAGCAAGAAATGCATCTTGGAACAGGATAGGTCTAGAGATGCTTGGGCTCTGGATGTAGTGGAGCTGTAACGGCTGACATGACCACTACCTTGAGTTCTGAGTGTCCATCCATCCATCTTCTTCCGCTTATCCAAGGACCCACAGGCGAACCCAGGCCAGCCGAGAAACATAGTCCCTCCAGCTTGCCCTGGGTCTCCCCCGGTCCTCTTCCTGATGGGACGTGCC